GCAGATGCGAGCACCTTCAAAGCCATGAAGGAAAACTCCAGCAGCTCCCACGGCAATATGGGGAATGTCTTCTTCAGGAAAGGTGCCCAGAAAGTAGCCTAGAAAACAAGAAATGCATACTGCGATACTTAGCCAACATCTTATCAATCCTCAGGTGGAATCCAAATGCAGGTGTTTCACTTTGTGATGTTTGTGTCCCTGCAAAGGTGAGGTTGGAGACTGGAAGAACTATTTCACACCAGAGCAGAGCCGAGAGATGGACGAGGTCTTCAACAAACGTCTGGCAGGAACAAAGATAGGAGCCAAACTTAACTATCAAGCACACTGTCAGTAGGAGGAAGACCAAGGAAGACGCAGGAGAGCTTTTGGAAAAGGCATCTTTATGTGGGTTTACCTTTAATATTGTTAAACTTAAATTAGTGGATGAGGCTCAGTTCACAGCCCAAAGACCCACTGTTAAAATCTCAAGTCAAGGGAAAACCGATCTCATGATTCAAGCATTTTAACTCCAATATGCAAACGTAGTTTCAACCGAAGTCTGATTGTGTTGTGATTAGAACCTATCCTGCTCATTTCCAGCTCCATATTTCTATCCTTGGACTGGAGTAACTTTGCATTATTCACAGCACCAGTACTCAAGCTATATATGCACCACCCACTTCTCAATTTGAACATCAGATGGGGCTCCTGTGCCTCAGATGACCTCTTTTTGACATCATACAGATCCAAGAGTAGAAAAAACTGTCACAAACTGAGTGTTTATAGCAGTCTGCAACCGGAGCTTTTGACTGACAAGGATTATTGTGTCTCATTATTTAAAACTCTGGTCAAGTTTAATATGAACATCCATCATTAGACCAGGAAATAAGGAAAACTAACTCAAACTAAAACTGCTTTTTGTTTCCTTTAAATCACATAAAGTAGATAAAGTGAGAGATGTTTGGTGCAGTCCTGATGGATTCAAACCAAATGAGCACACTCGTTCGACCGGCAGCTACCTGGAACCATGATGG